TTGGGTTCCCGGGCTCCCGGGGTCCCGGTCGATCTCCTCAGCGAAAACCATTCACTGATTGGGTTTTTTTTGGCGTATTTTTTATATTTCTGACGCTGTTTCTGGGCTGAAGCCTGTTCTTGACCTCATCGTTTCCCTGGATGGCCCAGTTGAGCTTCAGCTGAACATGGCAGTATGTGTGTCTCTTACCGCGGGCAGTGCCTCGGTGAAGGAGGTCAAGAGCCTAGCTGGCTCCTTGGGGCCGCGCTTCTTGCAATCAGTTGCGGCACGGTATACGAAATACCTCGGGGTGATGGCAGGGCCTGATGGGGAGGCCCATATCTGGGATGAAATTATTCCGAAGCTCCTGAACGGTACCATGGAAGTGCAACGTGCGAATCTCGGGCTTTCGTTGGGTATCAGGGCCTTCCTCGTTCTTTATCTCGCGCTGCTACAGTATGTGCTTTAATTTTACGCGCCATCGCGCCTGCTTATGGATGCATGCTCACGGCGTGCTCAGTTGCTTACTGATGGACCGTGGCATGCCATGTCACATAATTTGCTGGAAGGGCTCGACATTTGTTGTGGTGGGATAGGGCTATGTCATTTGCCGCATGTTAGTTAAGCCACGCGTGCACGGTTTGCTGCGTACTGCCCAAATTCCAGAAGGGACTTTTGACAGATTCATGCCGTTATGCTGAGTGACGAATGTGTTGTGGTACGACGGTGTCGGGAGTGGTGCAGAAGGAGTAGTGCTTATCATATGTCAGTGGCGCATGGATTCATGCTGCCCGTCCTCCTTGATCTCCATCCTACGGTCTTGCGGAAGGCTGTCCAGCGTAAGTTGCACACCCACCTCGTTAGATGGTGTCCGAAACTTGGGTGCATTGTTCTCGAGATCCTTTCGGCTAGGCTCCAGAAGTGGCTCCCCTTTTTTCTGGCTCCCGGATTTGTTGTGGCGCCTGCAAGAGATTCGCAGAGCTGCCAGTCCTTACCTCGCCGTCTCCCAGATCAGGACTGCGTGCCGAGGACTTTGTGCTTCGTCGCGTTTCACGTCTGTAGCGAAGCGCTCTATTTTCGGATGTGGTAGTAACGATGAGAGGGACGACCTCCGACACTACTCGGTATGCCAGCGAATGCGTGTACTTTTGAGGCCTTGGGCTCGCCATGGGATCCGTGAGCACGACATCTGACCTCCTGTTTTTGATGCTTCGCCTCAGCCCTAATGCCGACCTGCGCTTTTCGAGTATCTGTGATGCGTTATTCTTCACGCACGCTGCGGCGCGGAAAGGAGCTCGTGCCCAAATTAAACTATTCTTTGAAAACGGATTCGGGTGCACTGTCGTCGTCATGCGTCGCTGCAAGCAGCCTGGAATCTGCGACCCTAGTTTCAAGCTGCCGCTCGGCTGATCCGGAGTCGCCCAGGCCTAGGCTGAAAGGATTGCCCGGCCTCCCCCTTCTGATCTTGGCTGAGCTGCTCGTGCCACGGCACGACCGCCTTTCGCGGAGCCCTCTGGGGAGCCCGAGCGTGGTCCGAGAAGCCCCCCCCCCCCCCAAAAAAAAGAGAGAACAACCGAGACAGAGCCTCCTCCCTCCTCCCTCCTCCCTCCTCCCCCCTCCAGCAGCTCGCTCCTGGCCCCTCGAGGGGTCGACGGCCGAGCACCGAGAGGCTGTGGAGGAGGAGGCCCCCCCCCCCCGGCGAGGCGGGCGGAGCGGGCTCTGGCTCGAGCTGACGACGTCGCCCACGCGGAGGGACGTCCACGCGAGCATCGGGCCGCTGGAGGACTCGGGGCAGGAGCCGCGGAGCGCCCCCCGCCGCCGCCGGCCCCCGCGGCCCTGGCCCACTGGGGCCTGGTGGGTCGACGCGGTCTTGCTGGGCCGGGGGCGAGGACAGGGGGGGGATGGGCACAGGGGGGATGCATCGACCCCCAATCGCCCACGGATCGCCGATGGGGGCCCGATGGCACCACCCCGCCCAGGAAGGTGCGGATTCACTATCGGGGGCCTATCGCCGATCTATCGACGATGTATCGCCGTATGCCTATTCCCCCCTATCGATGCCCCTCACTGGGGGGCCCGCCGATGAGCAGCACCCCGGCTGAGGAAACGGTCGCCAGCGCCTTCGGCTTGGATGGCGCTCTCTAGGGACAATCAAAGAAGAAGAAACAACATCTTTTCATTATCCGGACGAAGGGCCCAACCATATGCACTGTGAGTGCCGCGTGGTGGGTACCGACCCCTTTCGATGGAGCTCTTACGAAACGTGTGAGGGGTGTGCCGAAGTGGGTGCGGTGGTGCCTCGCGGGCGTTGCCACTGGGCCTTCGGAAGGGTACAGCCAACACGCTGAGACAAGGACCACTTTGGGCTCAGGAGGATATTCTTTCTTCATCATCTGGCGCGTAACGGTCGTCACTCGGGCCAGCCTTCCTCCCCCCCTTGATTTTGGTTGCTGGTGGGCTTCCTATATTGATGTGATCTGAGAAGCCTTCAGGAGTGCGTTTTTGCATGCGCTGAGCGCTCGCCTCAAGGCTTCCTGTAATTTCCCAGGCCCTGGGCGCCAGGGGTAACGGTAGCGATCGTACGGACCCCCCCCCACATGCACGCAAGGTATGGCGATCGCAGCGCACCCCCGCCCCGACGTGCCCCTCCCTGCCCAAGCGTTACCTTTACCTGGGGTCCGAACCCCCTCCCCCTCACAGGGTAATGACCAGTACCCGAAACAGTAGTTACCCGGGCGAAAGATCCCAATCATATGCAGTTGTGAGTGCTGCGGTTGTGAGTATCGTCTTCGATGCTTACGGGGTCACGAAGCGTGTGGTGTGTGTGTGTGTGTGTGCCGAAACGGGTGCGGCGGTGCCCTGCGGTCGCGGCCACGGGGGCCTTTTGTGGAGCTCCTCCCTATGGGGCCACGAAGCGTGTGAGAGGTGTGCCGAACCAGATGTGGTGGCGCCATGCGGGCGCTGCCGCTGGGACCTTCGGAGGAGCTCCTTGTGGGGCCACGAAGCGTGTGAGAGGTGTGCCAGGACGGGCGCCCCAGTGCCATGCGGGCGCTGGCACTGGGGCCTAGGTGGGGCCCTCTATGGGGCCACGACGCGTGTGATGGGGTGTACCGCAACGGGGTGCGGTGGTGCCGTGCGGGCGCTGCAGCTGGGACCTTCGGTGGCGCTCCCTTTGGGGTCGCGAAGCGTGTGAGAGGTGTGCAGACATGGCTGCGGAGGGGCCGTGCGGGCGCTGCCACGGGGGCCTTAGGTGGAGCTCCTTGCAGGGCTACGAAGCGTGCGAGTTGTGTGCCGCAGCGGTTGCGGTGGTGTCACGCGGGCGTTGCCATTGGGGCTTTCGGTGGAGCTCCCCATGGGGCCACGACACATGTGAGGGGTGTGCCGAAACAGGGGCGGTGGTGCCCTGCTGGCGCTGCCACCGAGGCCTTAGGTGGGGCTCGCCATGGGGCCACGAAGCGTGTGAGGAGTGTGCCGAAACTGGCGCGCTGGTGCCATGCGGGCGTTGCCACTGGGACCTTCGGTGGAGCTCCGTGTGTGGCCACGAAGCGTGTTGGGGGTGTGACGGAACGGACGCGGTGGAGCCATGCGGGCGCTGGCACTGGGGCCTCAGATCGAGCTCCCTGTTGGACCATCAAGCGTGTGGGGAGTGTGACGAAGCGGACGCGGTGGTGCCATGCGGGCGTTGCCACTGGGGCCTTAGGTGGAGCTCCTTGTGGGGCCAGGACATGTGTGAGGGGTGTTCCGAAGTGGTGCCATGTGGAGGGCAGAGGCACGGATGGGAGGAGGGAGGAGGGAGGAGGGGGAGGAGGAGAGGAGTGGAGTGGAGAGGAGAGGAGAGGAGAGGAGAGGAGAGGAGATGCGGGGCGCTGTCTCTGCAAAGCAAGGACTCAACACCGCAGGATGGTTGGGGGGCGCTGTCTTTTCAAAGCAAGGTTTTTGGATGGGTTTCCTCCAATAAACCTTGCAACAAAAACCTTCAGAGGGAGGTTTTCGGAAGGATTCTTCCAGAAAGATCTTTCAAAAACCTTCCTCATAAGGTTTTCGGAGGGGTTCCTCCCAAAAACCTTCAAACAAGCTCCCTTAGGAAGGTTTTGGAAGGGTTTCCTCCAAAAGTCCATCAACCAAACTTCCTCAGGAAGGTGTTTGGAAGGTTTTGTTGGAAGGTTTTTGGAAGGTTGTCAGAAGAAAGGTTTCTGGCATGTTTTGCTGGAAGGTTTCTGGAAGGTTTTTGGCAGGTTTTTGGTAGGTTGTTTTGGAAGGTTTTTGGAAGGTTATCGGAAGGTTTTTCTTGCAGGCTTTTGGACGGTTGTGGACGTTTTTCTCAATGTATTGTTCGATCTCGCTAAATTTTGGAGGTTATTGGAAGATTTGTGGAGGGTTGTTTGGAAGGTTAGGTCTTGCAAGGTCTTTGGGAAGGTTTTTGGGAGGTCTGTGGAAGGCGTTTGGAAGGTTTCTGGATTTTTTCTGGGGGGGGGAACCTTCCTTCCACCCCCCCCGAGTCTTACGATGTTCTATCCTACTTTAGCCTTGATCACCAGAAAGAATTTCGAACACCAGAAAAGTACCCCCAAACTCGAGGGTTTTCACGTGTCGGGCCCTGGGAGACTCGTCCGACACTGTTTCGACCCTATTTCGACACTCTTTCGACTCTTTTCCGGGTGCTCGAAATGATCTCTGGGATGTGGTCCTTCTTAAGTACGATGGGAGCAACGTAACCGAGCCCGGGAAAACATCCCCCCAAAACCTCCCAAACACTTTCCCCAGGCAGAGTCCAGGAGGGGTTCCGCGAGCTGCCGCGCCGGCCTCGCCCTGGCGGACCCCGCGTAGGCTAGTGCGAACGGCCGCTTTGTTATCTCACGGACGACTCTAGGCTTACGTCGGGCTTGTTCCTCTACAGGGGGAATATTCGAAAATAGTAGAAAAAATAGTCAGGGGACTATTTTTTGACTATTTTTTGATCCTTTTGGATTATTCTTGGAGTATTTTTTATCTTTCGTCGAAAATCCCCCTGTAGGGGGACAGGCACGACCTAACTTTAGGCCTCCTAGAATGGTCCGAGTAGATGGGGTCGAAGGATCGCTCCGCATCGCTGATGCATCGGCGATGCAGCTCGATGTGGAGCCCGAGTTTCCCCACGCCGACGTCGCCGATGCATCGCCGACGTCGCCGATGCATCGTCGATGCATCGTCGATGCATCGAGGATACATCGGCGAGCCAGTGCAATCCTTCGAACCCCATCCACTCGGACCCCATCTAGGAGACCTCCAAAGACCTGTTTCTTTTCTTCGCTCCCTTGGCTGCAGTCGTCCTTTGACACTCTGGGCCCTGCTGTTTTTGTCGGAAGAATCGGGCCTGCAGGCGTCGGGTTTGCATGCGGTTGCTTGGCGGCGGCTTGTTCTCGGCTTCGAGCTCTCAACGTGGATTCGGTACGATCGGAATGGGCACGGGCAGAATGTTGGCCAAGACTGAAAACCGTTGCTGTCCATTTTGAACATGGTTCGCCGCGTACGTTGTCGATTTTTGGGGACACTTGTCGTTCGGCCTCGTGTCCAGTTTCTCTGGTTTCCGTGTCGGGCGTGCCAATAGATAGGTTTGTTTTGCTCAATTCGGATTGGCTTCGACCGTGACCATCCGATGCACCTTGGGTGGCCTGCTGTGTCTAGGGTCGACCCGTGTCACGAATCGCGCCCAGTACTGATGGGTGCGATTCTCGGCAGAAGGCCGTTGCTCCTGAGGATACCAGGGCTGGGCTGGGAGCAGGCCTTGGCAAGGCTGACACAGGGGACCATGTGAGGAGACTGGGGCTACGGTGAACACAGGTTTTAGAAGGTTGTTGGGATCGTTGCCGACAGTGGTACCCTAGCGTGCGTGTCTAGCCGGTACTGGGCTTCGCCTCCCGCTGCTGCTGCTGCTGCTGATCCTCCTCCTCCTTCTCTGCTTTTTTCTTCTGCACTGTTCTTCCTTGAGCCGATACGCGTTCCCACCCTCACAGGATGTTCCACACATGTGTTTTTCATACCCATCCTTCGTTGCCCATGACATGTCGTTCAAGCTTCTCATCCGTATCCCTTCCGTGCAGGAGCCCGTCGAGATCTGTGGTCCTGGCGGCCTCAGGAAGCTTGGGTAGGGAAGGAAGGGGGTGGGGGGAAGGGAAAGATGATGCTGCTGCTGCTGATGATGATGATGATGATGATGAGGATGAGGATGATGATGATGAGGAGGAGGAGGAGGAGGAAGAATAAGAATAATACTACGCATAATAATACGAATAATAATGATACTAGTAATAATAATAATACGAATAATAATATTATTCATAATAATACTAATAATACTACTACTAATAATAATATGAATAATATTAGTATTAATAATACTAAGAAGTCTAAGACGAATAATATTAATCATAATACTAATACTAATACTACTACTAATAATAAGACTAATAATAATACTAATAATAATGATAATGATCATAATGATAATCATATTAATAATAATAATATTAATAATAATAACAATATTAATAGTACTACTACTACTAATAATAATAATAATAATAATAATAATAAGAATAATAATAATACTACTACTATTAATATTAATACTAATAATAATAATAATAATAATAATACGAATAATAACAAACATAATAATACGTCTAATAACAATCATAAGAATAATAATAATAATAATAATAATAATAATAAGAAGAAGAAGAAGAAGAAGAGGAGGAGGAGGAGGAGGAGGAGAGATGATGCCGCGGAAAGCGGTGGGGGAGCCTGATCAGCAGATTGTAATCAGGAGCTGCAGAACAGTGTGCGCATCTATCGATTTGACGACATGGGGACGAAGCGTGGGAGGACGAGGGGAAGCTTTTCCACCCCGCCTCGTCCTCGCAGCTTTCTTTCAGCAGACGGCAGACGTGCATAAACAGCTCGGGGGTAGCATGTGGCCTCGCAGAGGTTTGTCGCACATGCAGGCACGCCCTTCGCCGCTAGCGCTCTTCCTCCTTCTCCTTCCTCTTCCTCCTCCTCCTCCTCCTCGTCCTTTCTCCTCCCTCCTCCCTCCACGCTGCTCCCTCCTCCCTCCTCCCTCCTTCCTCTTCCCTCCTCCCTCCCCCCTCCTCCCTCCTCCCTTCCCTCTCCCTCCCTCCTCCTCGGCGCCAGCTCAGCTGCAGCTGCCGCGGCGGACTCGGGGACGTCGTCCGCGTCTACTGGCGAGGCAGGGTCAGGGAGCTGGTGTCCCAGGACGCCGCCAGGGACTGCGCTCGTCCGCTCTCGGAGGAGAAAACCCACGGCGGTCCCGGTGCGGCATGCCCGGGCGGACGGCAGGGCGAGGCCCGCGGGGAAGCGCGACGTCACGCCAGCCCAGAAGGCCCAGGAGTCGAATAATAATAATAATAATAATATTAATAATAATAATAGTAATAATAGTAGTAATAATAATACTAATATTATTATTATTATTATTATTATTATTATTATTATTATTAATAATAATACTAATAATAATAATCATAATAATAATACTAATCATAATACTACTACTAATAATAATAATCATAATAATAATAGTAATAATAATAATGATAAGAAGAAAACGAAAAAGAACACGGCAGAAACATGAGCTTTTGGCGGTCCGCACGGATTTCTCGGATCGGCGCTTGTGCCCCCCTGGCGGCGCCTCCAGCGCCGCCCCTTGGCGCGGTCCGCGCGCCAGGGAGGGGGGTCTAGCGCAGATCCAAGAAATCCGCGCGGACCTCTAAACGTTTGATGTTTAGGAGGAGGAGGAGGAGGAGGATGAGGAGGAGGAGGAGGAGGAGGAGGAGGAGGAGGAGGAGGAGGAGGAGGAGGAGGAGGAGGAGGAGGAGGAGGAGGGGGAGGAGGAAGGAGGGGAGGATGAGGAGGAGGAGGAGGACGAGGAGAAGGAGGAGGAGGATGAGGAGGAGGAGCCACGGGAGGGCCTCCCCCGTTGAAGTCGCGCTGGGCGACTCGGCGGTGAGTGGGAGAGGGGAGGAAACGAGAGGGAGAATGCCTTCTCGGAAGGCGGGAGGACTTCTCAGAAGCCCTCGCGCCTTCTGAGAAGTTTTTTGCGTCTTCGGTGAAGGCTCAGAAAACTTCTCAGAAGGCCAGGGGACTTCCGAGCCCTCTGAGAAGGCCTTCTCCTTCTCGCTTCCCTCCCTCGCTGGCCGCCGAGTGACGGCAGCGAGGTCGCCTCCGCAGCAGCCCAGCGCGAGGCGGCCCTGGAGCGGGTCTTCGGCAGGCCCGGGAGGGGGGCGGCTGCCTGGACCATAACTCGCTGGCGGTCGAGACGCCCAAGCTGCTCCTAGAGGAAAGGGAGCACCGCAGCCGTGTGCGACGACTCGTCGCCCGCAGAAGAGCCCCACGAGGAGGCCGGCGTTGATGAGGACGGAGCCTGGCTCGGCGCCTGCGGGGAGCTCTGCGGGCGAAGGGCAGCACAGCTCGGACGAGCACGGGGCCGAGAGGCTCGTGTCTGAGCCCATGAGGGGGCTCGGCCTCGAGGGGGCACACGGCCACAGCGACGAGGCGCAGGCTGCTGTCAGGAAGTCTGTGGGCATCCTCGACGGGGCCGCGCAGTGCATCGCCTGCGACGTGGCGAGCGTCCTCCAGAAGAGTCTCTAGGCCACCGCCCACGCCGACGGCAAGAGCCTCCTCTCCCAGGGGCCAGCATGCTGTACGGAGTCCCAGGTGGGTGCGGATTGCCGTGTTTTCGCTCCTCGACGTGATGGGCCCCCGCAACGGGTTTTGCCGCCGCGCGGCGGTGCTCGTCGGCCGCTGGGCCCGTGGGGCGTCTCTTGAGGCCGGCGCGAAGCGTGGGCCGCCCTGTGCGGCGTAGCCTGGCACCGCCTGGGCATTCGTGCCTTCAGCCTTCAGCCCTCCCTCCTCCTCCTCCTCCTCCTCCTCCTCCTCCTCCTCTCCTCCTCCGCCTCCGCCTCCGCCTCCTCCTCCTTCTCCTTACCTTTCCCTTCCCCCCACCTCCTTCTTTTCCCTTCCTTCTCCTGATCTTTCCCTTTCCCCTCCTCCTCCTCCTCCGCCTCCTCCGCCTCCTCCGCCTCCTCCGCCTCCTCCTCCTCCTCCTCCTCCTCTTCCGCCTCCTCCTCCTCCTCCTCCTCCTCCTCCTCCTCCTCCTCCTCCTCCTCCTCTCTCCTCCTCTCTCCCAAGCCTCCTCGCCTGGCGCCGCGGCGCTCGCGGCCCGGAGCCTGGGGGAGCCGCAGCAGTAACAAGACCGAGTCCGAACCGAATCGATGCCCCTCCTCCTTCCCCTCCTCCTCCTCCTCCTCCATCCCTCCTCCTCCTCCTCCTCCTCCTCCTCCTCCTCCTCCTCCTCCTCCTCCTCCTCCTCCCCCTCCTCCTCCTCCTCCTCCTCCTCCTCCTCCTCCTCCTCCTCCTCCTCCTCCTCCTCCTCCTTGAGCAGGATCGGCAGAGTGATTTCGGGCCTGAGTGGAGAGGCCCGATGTGCCTCAAACCTGCGCTCGATCTCCTCTCGAAGCAGACAGAGTTCACCCACCTGGTCGGGTCACTGCCGTCATTGTTTGCGCAGCCTCACTGCGAATCGGTAACTATTGGTGTCAGCAGAGGTTTTACGATGCCTGTCAGGACATTTCTCCCGTGTGCCTGGCCTGCCAGGCCGCCCCTGGGACCATCTTCCACCGTCGTTTCGAACGCGGCTTTCATGATGTTTGGGGAAGGGACGTGATCAGCCCTGACGTTCGCAGGGCGGCGGATAGAGTCAAGTTGCTCTGGCCCAGGGCTCAGGAGCTTTTTGCCCGCTGTGCCCTTCCCGACCCCACCTGTTGGTTCTCCCGTCCCACCGAGCCCCCCGAGGCCACTGTGTTTAGGTACAAATGGCCTGCCGAGGGGCTGACCTTAGGTGATGGGAACCACATCT